AGCGGCGGCCCCTATGTGAAAGCCTGGCGGAAGAGCTCCGTCTTGCAGGCCCTGCGGAACTGCATAAGGTCCCGCAGGGCCCTGATCTCCTCCGGGAGCTCGTTCCACCAGGTAGGGGCCGCCACTGAGAAGGATCTGGCCCTGGTCGCAGCAAGTTTTACCTCCTGGGGACCTGGGATCACCAGACGGTTTTGGGTCCCCGACCGAAGTGCTCTTGGGGGTATATGCGGGGAAAGGCGGTCCCTCAGGTAGGTCGGACCCTGGCCATATAGGGCTTTAAAGGTGAGTATCAGCACTTTGAAGCGGATTCGGTACGCTATTGGCAGCCAGTGCAACACCTTCAGTCCAGGTCGGATGTGCTCCCACTTGGGGAGACCCATCAGCAGCCTGACCGCCAAATCTTACATTCAGGGGTGTCTTCCTTTCAAGTAAATATGGTGTATGTTTTAGTTGTCCTCTTCCCCAAATTATTTCAATCATAATATGTGATCTCATGAGAACATTTCTCAGAGTTTAATTTAATCGGGGGTGGGGGGGGGGTGATCTCCTGTCCCAGTGTTCCGGAGCTCTTGATCCCTTTTGGTCTTAAACTATCAATTAGTTTTACAGATGTCCTTTTCGTTCTTCCGTGAACCTCCTGGGTGACGCGGATTTATTGAATCATTTAGAAGATTTATCTCCCGGCTCTCAGCCTGAAGGTTTCTGAGGCAGCATGAAAGCATAACGTGTTAAGTTAATGAGAACCTTAAGGTCCTCATCGAACCCTCAGCGGGGTCTTGCCCTTGACGCCACCCACATGGATCAGATTTTAGAGTTGTCAAGTGAGGAAGTCAAGATTTATTTATTTATTTATTATCACATTTGTACCCCCGCCCGCCCCGCAAAGCAGGCCCAGGGCGGCTTCCAGGTAACATAAATACAGAATGAAGCATACATAATTTAAAAGGTAAAGGTTCCCTTGCTCGAAAGCCAGTCGAGTCCGACTCTAGGGTTGCGGTGCTCATCTCCGTTTCCAAGCTGAAGAGCCAGCGCTGTCCGAAGACGTTTCCGTGGTCATGTGGCCGGCAGGACGAAACACCAAGGCGCACGGAACGCTGTTACCTTCCCACCGAAGCGGTACCTATCTATCTACTTGCAATTTCTTGCTTTCAAACTGCTAGGCTGGCAGGAGCTGGAACTAGAGACGGGAGCTCACTCCGTCATGCGGCGCACTTGGGTCTCGAACTGCTGAACTACCGACCTTCCACAGCCTGCAGTTCAGCGTCTTAACCACTTGAGCCACCGCAGCTCCTGACATAATTAAAACACAATTGAAATCAGTACAATACAAAGTGCTGGCAGCAGTTAAAAATGCAACTAGATGGAATGCTTTCAAGTGGATTTCCAACAGTACTAGAGGTTCTTCTGCTTGTCGGCTCTCATGGCAGCCGCTCGATGGTAAAGTTACGGGCTGGGCGCTACAGTGGCGGCGGCCCCTAATTAAATGCCTGGCGGAAGAGCTCCGTCTTGCAGGCCCTGCGGAACTGCAAAAGGTCCCGCAGGGCCCTGATCTCCTCCGGGAGCTCGTTCCACCAGGTAGGGGCCACCACCGAGAAGGCCCCGGTCCTAGTAGCAGCTAGCCTGGCCTCCCTTGGGCCAGGGAGGGTCAGCCGATTTTGAGACCCAGACCGTAGTGCTCTCTGGGGTATATACGGGGAAAGGCGGTCCCGTAGGCTGTCAGCTTGCTGTGGAGCAAAGGCATGCCCCAAAGGGAAGGCAAAAGAGAAAGTACCTGAACAGCCACATTCATGCCCCACAACCCTCCCGTGGGCCACTACCCCGTGGGACTCAAGGGGGAAGACCCACTATTGCTCTGAACATTTTGGTGAGTGGATCAGGAGCCAGAGAACATATCTGCGCACAGGAGAGAGCAGCTCTGCTTTCTGGGCCCACTGCGCAACCCGAGCCGTGGCGTTCCCGGGTAGACTGTATCGGGGCCGGGGGAGGGAGGAACGCTGAAGCCGAGGAGCAAATAAAAGGTCGGTTGGCTGGTGGGTGGGAAGGAGAGAAGGAGGCAGGGACAGGGGAGAGGCTTATTTGAGTCT